ATTTCCAGGGACTTTGGTGCACCAATGCCCTAACAATGCCTGTTACAAACATATGCACAAAGACATAATACCCTGTACCATAATCTGGTGAAGGGTATAAAAAGGGCTCAGAATTCTGGGAAGAGGTTTTTTATGACGAAAGTAAGTTTTCCATTTTAGGCATTAAGGCATTTTGGTTTTCTATTACATTTTACACTTTTTCAAGACAGTCCCTTTAAAATTTCAATGGAAAATCTCAACAACATTTGATGATATAGCCGAACTTTTAACGCGTTTTTCTCGAAACAGTGTTTATACGAATGGTGGTCACAATAACTCAAAAACTAATAATTCAATCCGTTCCAAATTTTAACATGTTATTCTTTATTTCCTTACCTTCAACTCGGTTGGTGGTCGAACTTAGGGAATTTTTGAATGGTACTGTACCAAATAAAGAAAATCTTGATTCAACGGTCAAACACGAAAGGGGTGGAGTTATGTTATGGAGGTGCTTGTCAGATAAAGGCGTAAAAATTGACCTTTATAGAATATGGTATGGTTATATAAATATGTTAAAGAACAATTTGAAGCAATATGCACAGTAACTGAACCTAAGACAAGATTATTGGTTCCAAAAGGATAATGATCCTAAGCATACGGCGCAAAATGTAAAATTGTAGCTACTCTCCCTACCACTACCCATCAATTGAATTCGCCCCCAATCACCGGATATTTCTGGGATCCACAAACATATCATTACCTTCAAGGAAATGCTACGAAAAAGTTATTATAGGGGAAGAGACCAACATTGCCGAAGAAGAAAAATCCAAATTAGTCCAATCAATGACAAAACAACTTACAGAGGTTCTTCAAAACAAAGGATTTGTTACTATTTATGATAACACAAAATAATTTTATTCACATAATGTTTCATGTGTAAGAATACTTTTTTCGATTAAACAATTTAAAAATTTTACTTGTAAAAAAAACGATTAAAAACCAGTAAGAAAGTCGGACTAGACCGACTATATGATACCCTTTACAACTTTGAGTATATTCAACAGATGAATCCTAACAGACGTCGCATTTTAAAGGACCAGCAAAATGGAATTGGATCCATAAACATGTCATTCTACAACCGATACTAAATTTTTCATTTGGTCAGATATAGAAGCTATATCTAAATCTGAACCCATTTTTAGGAAACTTAACACACATCATTCTAGACGTAATTCATTACGCTGTGCCAAATTTCGTGACTTTGGTGGACCATTTACATTAAATCGGACGAAAATATATATAGGAGCTATATCTAACTCTGAACCGATTTTCACGAAACTTTGCACACATCATTCTAGGCCTAATTCATTACGCTGTGATAAATTTTGTGCAAATCGAAAGATATTAAGGGGCTTTGGTGCACCATTTACATTAAATCGGACGAAAATATATATGGGAGCTATATCTAAATCTGAACCGATTTTCACGAAACTTAACACACATCATTGTAGGCCTAATTCATTACGCTGTGTCAAATTTCGTATAAATCGAAAGATATTAAGGGACTTTAGTACACCATTTACATTAAATCGGGCGAAAATATATATGAGAACTATATCTAAATCTTAACCGGTTTTTCACACATCATTGTAGGCCTAATTCATTACGCTGTGCCAAATTTCGTGCAAATCAAAATATATTAAGGGACTTTGGTGCACCATTTACATTAAATCGGACGAAAATATATATGGGAGATATATCTAAATCTGAACCGATTTTTAGGGAATTTAACATCGTTCTAGACCTAATTCATTACGCTGTGCCAAATTTCGTGCAAATCGAAGGATATATTGGTGCACCTTTTACATAAAATCGGACGAAAATATATATGGGAGGTATATCTAAATCTGAACCGATTTTTCCCAATTTCAATAGGGTTCGTCCTTGGACCAAATAAGTGACATATGCCAAATTTCATTCAAATCGGATCATAAATGCGACCTGTACTTTGTTCACAAAAATACATGGACGGACGGACGGACATGCGTAAATCTACTCAGAAAGTGATTCAATGCATATTCTCAAAAGGAACCATGTGTCTGTCTCGTTTCCTTTTGCCTGTTACAAACATATGCACAAAGACATAATACCCTGTTGTTGTTGTTGTTGTTTTTGTTGCAGTTTATATAAATTGTATGTTTTCTGCTAAGTTTCCTCCAGTTCTGTCTCCAGATTTAGAAATGCAGCTACCTCCACTGGCTGTAACCACCAGGGATGGTCCGTGTGACGAATTTTTTGGTTTTCGACTGTCAAAAAGGTGTAAACGTCGAAAACGTCATATACCTGTATAAAATGTAATTAATGAGGTAAACGTAATTTATTTCAATATTATCAGCATCATCAGTTATTTTCAAGAATACATATTATTTTTACATATAGCTCACTATACCTTGCTAGAACTGGTAAAAATTACTAAATTTTTTTGAGAAGAAAATTTTGAAATTTTATATTAATTTGAGTTAAGCATGCGTAATATCCAGATTGATTAATGGAAATTGCTATTTTGTCAAAAACCTAATGGATTTGGGTAGGTTTCCGACGTTTCTGACGTATGTATTATACGTCGGAAATGTATGTCATTTACGTCACTGTTTCTGACAGGCCATCTCTGGTAACCACAGATCTTCCGGAGGGAGGTGAGTAGGTTCGGCTGGACAATTGAACAAGTGCAGTGTGGTATGAGGGCCTGTACCACATGCTGGGCAGACATCCTGCACCTGGTCATCAATCCGTGCCCAATACGAATTGAGCCGACTGCACCATCCAGAACGTAACTGAGCCAAAACTACTCTGGTTTGTCTGGGCAGGTGACGTTCTTCAGCTGCTACGGGTGGGGGGTGAGCTCCGAGGACGGCATTCACTTTGTAACCGTTCAGCGCTGCTGCTACTGCATCTGTATGAATGCCATTCAGACCTGCTCGATAGGCAACTTGATCTAGAGGCTCCCTTTTGTATCGTTGGACCTCTCTCTCTCTAGATCATGCAGATCCTATCCACCATATGATGGTTGGGATGATCGTCCCTGAAACACCCGAGCAGGTACTGCAACGAAAGCATATTGCTATGCTGACGTACGGGAAGGATCTTCGTCTCCTCATGAAGATGGTCCACTGGTGTCATGAGGAGGCACCCTGTCGCTGTCCTCAGGGCGGCATTCTGACAGGTCTGAATATTTCTCCATTGCGTATCACTGAAATTCGCAGACCACACTGGAACCGCATAGCTAGCCACAGACCGACCTATCGCTTTATAAGAGGTCAACAAGGTTTCCTTATATATATATATATAATACCCTGTACCACAGTGTGGTGAAACGGAATTGCCGTAGAAAATACGCCTAGATGAATAAGGAAGACTATATAAGCACACATACTTGATAAATACTATAAAATATTGTCTGTGGTATTAGGGTTATTGATGAAATACTATGCCAATATAAATACCCTTTCAAAAATGGTCTCGAAAATGGCAACGAATAAGCATGTCTGCCTGCATGAAAAAATACACAATTTTCATATGGTGCACATGTTTTCTCTTCAAAAAGTTAGGGTTCCTAAAATATGAAAGAAGATCTTTTAAACTGTTGGGATAATTTGTACATAAGCGAGATTTAAATCCATATGGTCGGTCCATTCAATTATTCTGATTTTCGGTTACATTATGAATTGCCCATTGAATTGGTTGTAATTTAAAATGTTGAGTTCTCAATGGAAATTTCATTTCTTATATTGTCTAACGAGTCAATTGTCCTGTCAGTAGCTTTAGCCATGATGCTCAAAAGATTCTGTGTCGGGGTCTTACAAAATAATTTTGAAGTTTCATATTTTCTAAAGTTTAAGAATTTCTTGTGATAAATTATGTAATGATCTAATGATTTTTTTGTATGGGAAACAAAATAATTCTTTAAAATTGGCTTCCAATCATATCGTACTGATATATTCACCTATTTTATTATACTTATCACAGACGCTGTGCAAAACATCCAATATTTACTACCATACTTTTTTCATTAACCATTAACCCAATTAGTTAAAATAAATGTGAAATAATCATCATGAAAACAAAAAAAAAAACCTAAACACTTGTTGCAAAAACAAAAGACTTAAGCAACACGCATCAACTTGTTGCTCTTATTGGCATCATTGTTGTCGTTGTTAATCATAACAATTACCCTAAAATTTTCCAAATCATTTCCATTTGCCATTTGCAACATTTCCAAATGAGAAGAGTATCAAAAAACCTCATCCCGCCAACAACATCGACGTAAAACTGAAATCATCTGCGTATGAAAATGAAATTCTTTAATGCGTATTGCGGTTGCATATAAACACAGAAAAACAACAACAACAACAATCACAGAAACAAACGCAATAAGAAAACCCATTAACAGGCAATCACAAAAAGCTAATGAGCCATTGTCTTCACAATTGGATTACAAGTTGACTGCAGTCGACTGGATAGGCAGACTTAAGCAACAGTTTGATAATGACTTCATCAAAAGAGGAGAAAAAGACTTGATTTTCCTGAGGGGAATGCATTGAATGTGTGGCCCATGCGGAACTATTATGGCACATTAAAACAAAAAAATGAAAAAAACACATACAGAAACCGTTGTGTGAAATACGCAACAACAACAAGACGCTAAGATGATGTTACTTAATCTTAAATAATAACCATTTCTATAAATAGAATAATACTTCTTGATGTTGCATCACAATCTTGTTAATGTCATTGCTATTTTTTTGTCATTTCCTTTGTAGCTGATTCTGGTTTTGTATCTCATCGAAATCCAGCCAACAGAAGCGGTATCTACAAGCATAGATTTAACTACAACATATACACCAATTAGCAAGCCAACATCACGCAATCCCAAAACAAAATTATTACGGCAGACATCAGCCACGGCATCTTCAATTGGACAAAAGCAGCAACAACAACAACACCAACAGCAGCAGCAACAATTACAACAAAAACAACATCATGAAGCTTTGGTATCAGCCAATGATGACATTAATTTGGTGGTATTACCCTCCAAATCCTATATAACACAACCCACCACTCCATCCACCAAACAAACCAAACGTTCAGGACAAACAGCGGAATTAAAACAAAGGAAACCACTAAAGGAGATACGAAATCGTACTTTGGAAACGGAAAGATCTTCAAAACTACAGGCAGAAGTGGTGAGAGAGAGCAAATATAAGTTTGGTTTTGTTTCGATTTTATTTAATTAATATTCTTCTGCTTTTTCTTGAAGGCGGATCATTTACCCCAGTCTTCAGGTCACATACCCTATCGCATAGGTCGTCCTCATTTACCACCATCGGCTGGAGATTATGACAGTACCGGTTCGGGTTCACCCACCTCAACGGGCAGTGCTGCCTACCATGCTGGCCCACCCTATGAACCTGAGAAATATCATGCCGAATACTGGGAACGTGATTATGATAAACATTTCGGTTACAATAATACAAGGGTGAAACGTAAGTAGTACGAGATTTGCATGTATATGTATATGCTCGGATGTTATAAATATTAGCAATCTAACTATACTAATAAAAGTGTAAGGTGATTGACAAACTTAACGTTTCATTAACGTCCAATGATGTCAGATAAGGCTGGGTTTTTGGAAATTTGTACTAGAACAGCACGAATTGTACTAAAAAGTACTAAATATGGTACCATTTGTATTTGACGAAGCGGTACAGCTAGAACTCTTAAATTTGAAATGAAGGCCATTGATGAAGTGTAGAATAGATGTGGCATTTTTAAACATTCGAACTATAAGTATCCGTAAAGTCCTAAAATGTACCAAATCTGGTACAGTTTCGTAGCATGTGAATGGATAGAGCTAAAATCTTGAAATGTTAAATGTGTCAATGTTGAGAAGTTGGGTCGATATAAGGAGGTGGATTCGGAAGCGTCTATATATGTATACGAAAAGTACTAAACTGTACTAAAGTTGGTACCCTTTGAATTTGGAGAAACGGATGGAGTTGGAATCCTGAAATTTGAAATGTACATTACTGTCGAAGTATAGAATTGGGATATGTATGTAGTCTTTGGAAATTTTTTACTTATCTGAAAAATCCTGAAATTTAATAGAATTGAGTTATGTAGGAAGTTTTGAAAATTCCTAGTAATGTATACTAAATTTGGTACTAATCAAATTTTGGGTGAACTGATGTAAGAAATTTTGAAAATTTGTAGTAAATGGTACCAAATTTGGATTTGTGAACCGATAGAGCTAGAATTTGGAGTTAGGATCACTGTTGGGATGTAGATTTCAGCTATGTGGGAAGTATTGGAAATTCGTACTAATGTGTACTAATATTGGTTCGAATTAAATTTTGGGTGAACCGATGTAGGAAGTTTTGGATATTTGTACTAATACGTACTAAATGTGTATTTAAGTGAACCAATACACCTGGAATCTTGATATTGGAGTTAGGATCAATATTGGGGTGTATATTTGAGATATATTGGTAGTTTTGGAAATTCGTACTAATGTGTACTAAATGGTATCAAATGTGGATTTGTGTGAACCAACAGAGCTGGAATCTTGAAATTTAATGTTAGGCACACTGTTGGGATTGGGTTATTTAGTAAGTTTTGGAAATTCGTACTAATAGGTACTAAATTGTAGCAAATGCGGATTTGGGCGAACCAATAGACCTGGAATCCTGATATTCAATGTTATGATCACTGTTGGTGTGTAGATTTGAGTTATGTAGGATGTTTTGGAAATTCGTACTAATGTGTTTTAAATGGTACTAAATTTGGTACAATTATAAATGGTACTAAATTTGGTAAAATTAAGATTTGGAGCTCGAATCATGCAATTTGGAATTAATTTTGGAAATAAGTACTACAAGAGTAGGTAGTTTTGGAGATTCTATAATTGTTATTATGGACAATATTGGTGTGAGTGTTGATTAGAACTTCGGACACATGCAGTTCTTGGTGAAAACAAATTAAATATTTATTCGCTAACGAAGTAGCGGGCATATACTAGTTTTCAATATTGATCTATGCTTTGACATAGACATCCGCTCCTATTTCGATATTTTTTTGTTGGTCCTAAACTCATTGTCTAGACTTCGCGAGTGTTGTTCATACAAATGTTGTGGTGAATCCTATATAAAGAACCATAGGCATGGATTTTTTTAAGAATAATTTCTGATGGACCATCGGCGTGCATTTTTTAAGCATAATTTCTGATGAACCGTCGGCGTGGTTTTTTTATGAATAATTTCTGATGAACCATTCGCGTGGATTTGTATACCCTTCACAACTATGTTGTTAGGGTATTATAGCTTTGTGCAGCCCCAAGAGTTTGTAACGCCGCGAAATATTGGTCCTAGACCCACCTTTAAGTATACCGATCGTCATATCTCGACTAGCTGAGTCGATCTAGACATGTATGTCCGTCCGTCCGTCTGTCCATTATAATTTGTAAACACGATACGGCCACAGTTATGGACCAATCTTCACGAAATTTTGCATGTGCTTACAGGTGCTTACGTACTGAGATATTATTTAATAACCAAATTCCACTGGAAGGCGAAAATATAGCGCTGATCGGTTTGAAATTTTCCACGAGGGTCCAGGTATGGTCAAAGACAACGCCTATAATTTTCGGTTATGATTAGATAATAATTTTGGGATAAAGTGGACCGAAAAGTTATTTTGTTGTGTGTTTTTCGAGTCGATATATAGGCCACAAATATAAGCCGAACATCACAACATAGCCCACGGTGAAGGGAATCTGGACATGTAATTAGAGGGGCTGTACAGAATATTAGTAATATTCGGAATATATGTCTGTGTAGGAAGAGTTGCTGTTGACCTCTAATCGGGCAATAGGGTTCGCAAACTATTGCCCAGACTCAAACTATTGCCCAGACTCAGAATAAACATCCGTAGAAAGTTAGAGTTCCGTGGAAGTTGTGTAGGGTATCGTATGGTCGGCCCCGTCCGACTATACAGCTTCGCTCACTGGTTTAAGAATAATTTCTGACATTTACTCGTATAGTTTCAGACAAATCGACAAAATCTCTATACATATTCATTTCCTATATTTATAAGATGTCTAATTTTTGTTACAGATATTGAAGCCGAATGTCAAGATGACTATATGAAAATTCGTATTGGATTTAATGGATCCTTCAGTGGTTTGGTTTATTCGGCTGGCTATGCCTACGATCCAGATTGTATGTACATCAATGGCTCGGGTAGAGATTACTATGAATTCTATATACAATTGAATCGTTGTGGTACACTGGGGAAGAATGCCCTACACGATGATAATCGGAAAAATCCAACTGTAAGTTAATTTTTTTTAAGCCAGATTTTTCACGGATCTCAAACAAATGTATGCATTATTTTCATTTACAGAACTTCATGTGGAATACCGTGACCGTACAATACAATCCCCTAATCGAAGAGGAATACGATGAACATTTCAAAGTGACCTGCGAGTATGGCTATGATTTTTGGAAAACGGTGACCTTTCCCTTTTTGGATGTGGAGTGAGTTGAATAGTTGAATTTGCATGTGCATGCTTGGGATTAGATATCGTAAATTTACATATAGAAATTTAAATGATTTTGATTCACAACGTAGGGTGGCTACCGGAAATCCTGTCGTCTTTACACTGAGTCCCCCGGAATGTTATATGGAAATACAGAATGGCTATGGCATTGGTGGTCCAAGGGTAACGGGTCCTGTTCGTGTTGGAGATCCATTGACATTGATTATTTATATGAGAAGCAAATATGGTGATACAAATTTTCTGCTTTTAATTAATAAAATATATGATTTTATTAAAAATTTTCTATGATTGTTTTCCAGATGGTTTTGATATTGTGGTCAATGATTGTTTTGCCCATAACGGTGCCAATAAACGAATACAACTGATCGATCAATATGGCTGCCCGGTAGATGATAAACTCATATCACGCTTTCGTGGTTCTTGGTCGGATTCGGGAGTTTTTGAAACCCAGGTTTATGCCTATATGAAAACATTCCGTTTCACGGGTTCACCAGCTTTGTATATTGAGTGTGATGTCCGAATGTGTCATGGCCGGTGTCCGGTAAGAATTCCAAAACCCACAGATTTTAATGAAATTTTAAAAACTATTTTTTTTATTTTAGAGCCAACCCTGCCACTGGCGTAATTTGAAAGCCGTCACCAAACGTGATGTCTCCAATATAACACTTGAGACCTCTGTAACCGATCAAATTCCCAATGACCTTCTAATGGATGCCACGGAAAAACCAGAAACCTCTCTATCGGAAAATGTTAATCTATTTCAATCGTTACGTGTCCTACAAGAAGGTGAAGCCGACGACGATGGTCTTTACAGCAGCAGCAGTGCTAGACGTTTTGAGGCGAACAGCAATCAAACGTGTCTCAAAACGAGTACCTTCTCAGCCATGACAGCAACATTTTCGGTTATGCTGTGCATTTTATCAGCTTCCCTTATGATTGCCTGTTCTCGTTTGAAACAGAGAAAGAAACAATCGTCGCTGTACGATTCCTATGTTACCCATAAGGGACAAATTGATTGATTGACCGATTTATGGCTGCCCGATGAAATGGAAAACATGAATCAAAACCGTAAATTAATATAAGCATTTCAATATTGTTGTAAATATATATAATTTTTTAATTTTAGTATTTCGCCCCTTCCAAACGATTTTTTTTTTGCTTACGGTTAAGTTTTCTGTTAGTATAATAATGAATAGTATTACTTTTTTATACAATGACAAATAAGTTCGTTTAAGATTTGTGTTTTGCTTATTTTTGTAGTAGATTAAATTTAATATATACATAGAATACAGTTTTGATACCATGACTATAGTAATCGAAATGCCTGATGATTTTTATTTCATAGGGGTTTAAGGGAAAGTGTTGGCATGTACGCTTTTTAGAATATAATAGCTGACGAGTATGCCCTTTCGGGTCATAGAAATCAAAACTGTAATCCCACAAGGATTTTTAAATGGGATGGTAAATAATCATAATCTGAAACCAAATATTCCATCGAAATTTGGATTTGGCTGATCAGAATCGCTGTGCGTAAGAAATTATATTGTGTGTGAAGTGGCCATAATCTCATGATATTGTCACCACTTCGAGAGGACGTAGGCAGGGTTATGAGGGTTTCAGGGGTTGGAAGGAAGGCAATTGGCTTTGTCACCAGAGAACTTTAGTGCACTGACCATAAATGACCAGGTTAGCAGGTTGAATGAATGGATGAGCAATGTCAATAACGCACTCCTTGACCGGCGCCGTCAGGCTGAGCCAAATAAGGTCATATGGTGGACCCGCGAGCTAAGTACAATACGGCGGAAAGTTAGACGTATTATGCGGTACGTCCAAAGAGCCAGGCGAGTCCATGCGGAAGATTTAGAACAGCGAAAATCCGAATTCCTTGCTGCTCGTAGAACGTACAAAGACGAGCTTCTAGGAGTAACGAAGATTAGTATGGGACAATGGAGAGTATTCATGTGGTATAGTATATGGTGGTTCCAAGCGTCGGGTTGACCTACAGGGGTTGCGTAGCAGCATTGCGACAACCACTTCGGGGTGGAGGAGAACATTCTTCTGGATTCGGAGACTCCGTAATTTTCTCCAGTTATTGATGAAATGAGGGAGCCAATGGATTTAGATAGTATAGAAGTTGTGGACAGTTTTTGCTGGGCTAGAAAGTCATCTGGAAGGTCATGACGGTGTATATAGAGTCCGTTTTCTCTAGCTGCATTTGCTAAGGATGCTTCCCGCGTGATTGGATGTGTGCCCGAGTTGTTGTGTTGTCTGATTGGGGAGAGGAGTGATCCTCACTTGGAAAAGTGCTGGAGAGGATTATGGTGGCATGGCTTAGGGAATGCTATAGCGAAAACACGTCCTCCTATCAGTTCTGTTTTACCGTAGACGCGTGGGGACATGTGCAAGATAGCGTTCGCGGGTCAAATTCCAAATATGTCATTGGGCGTTATTCCAACTGTGGCTCAGCCACTGTGAGGTAGGCCAAATGGCAGGTATTAACATTAAACCATTCAGATACTGTTTCCAGGATTAATTAATGCTACTTTTGTTTGCAGATGTCTAAAAAATAGTCAGTGATTTCGTAAACCTTCAACTCTGCTGATGGAGCTTTTTTAAGGGTGTTCTACTATTACTTTAAACCAATAGTTACTACAAATATATTGGTCTGCCAATTTCCGACAGGATTCACCATTTTTTTTATATAGGATTGTTAGGAATATTAGGTTCTGCAAGACCAAAGCGTCAAGTCGTATACTTCTTTCGCTTGGTCTTATATGTGTGTTTCTGATCAAAACTGAAATTCTATTGAATATAGAACATACGAACTGTTTATGCATGTTACGCACATTTTTCCAAAAAGAACTCATCCGCCTCGCAGACCTTGAAGTTCTACTCTCCTTCCCAAATATCCTTTCTCTGGCCATGTTGTGCTCTTGTACACGAATGTGTAGTGGTTTTATTATGAATCTATTGGAGGCATGTTTATTTATATCAGTATCTTCTAATCGACCTTCACATCCAGAATTTTTAGCAATAGGTTTTCTTAATAATGTTATGCCAGGTCCAACTCCTGGGTTTTCTCCTGAATCGGTGCACTCTTCTGTGCACCTACTTTCTCGTTTTTTGAGTTGCATTTTCTACATTTAGGCTTATTCGCCTCTGGAGTTCCTCATCCATAACAAAATACGGTTCTTTCGAACAAACAGTCCTGGTACCGGTGCCCCTACTTTCGGCAGTTCCAGCAGATAAGTCCAAATGCACAAATACCTTCACCATCAAGTATGGACGCACCATCATTCTCCTGAGTAAATACCTCCGTAACCTCAGAAACACGTTTGGAAAACATCGGTTTAGAGACAAAAGAACCATGCCTATGACGAATATCCGGTAAAAATAATTCCCGTTTCCTGCATATGTCCCTTAGATCTTGAAGGGATGAAATCTTGAGATTCAGGATTTCATGCTAAATCTCTGGCAACAAATTTCGAATGAGAATTTCAACCCGGTTTTCATCAGCAAGAGGTTCCTTAAGACGGTCTGTCAGCTCTACAACTGAATCATAAAACGCATCGAAACTCTACCCATTTCGCTGCTTTCTGTCTCTTATCAACTACCGAAGGTCTACGTCAGTACGACAATCTTCATATTGAGGCCATTGCACAAATCATTCCAAGATAAATTTTTGACGGATCGATGGTATCGCCAGAACCAGTCTGCAGCATTACCATCGAATAGAATACTAGCATTCCGGCATAAGATATCATAATTTCCCTGCAACGTTTGTGCGATCAACGTCTCGACTCGACATATAAAGTTTTCGACCGACAAACCGCTAGAGCTGCCACAGAATTTCATTTTCCAATTAGTCATTATATGGAGTACTTTATCGGGTCGAGAAGTAAGATCCGAGGAAGATGACATATTTGAAAGGGTGGCAGAAGCTGAAGGACTTACTCGGATGTTATCCTGCAAATTATGATTCCTGGAAGGGTCTGCCGAAATACCCAACATCTTTTGAAACCTACGCTGTTCCACGGCTGGAAGGGTAGGTGTTTGGGGTGGTGGAGTATATTGAGTATGGGCATGGGTAGTTATGGGTGAAACATTTCGTATGGAAAGTCATAGGAGTGGACCGATGTTCCCTATCTCCGAACTCGATTTAAATTTAGAAAAATTTTTGGAATTGTGTGTGTACATTTCCAGAGGTATATATAACTGTCTAATATGGGTCCCATTGGACCCAGTTCTACAAAAAAGAATTCCAAAAATGGGATAGGAATTTAAATATTTGGGATATATCCTGGAGATATGTTGAAAATATTCTGATGTTTCTTATACTCTGAAACCCCGAAACCACTGCTTTCCGTAGGGGTTTGTCAAGACTTCTTTATTGAACATTTTCTGTGAAGAAGTTTTATACCCACTAAGAGCACGGAGTGCTCTCCAAGAGGAGGATTTTTTGTGTTTGTAATTTTGTTACACAAAATCTAAAAATCCAGAGGTAGTTGTGTGGGGTATCACATAATAGACTTCGTCCGACTATACTGATGCTTACTGATTGTATTAAGTCAACATATAGAACAAAAATACATTTGCTAAAAATAAATCGCGTTGCCAACTCTTCAAATACAAATATTGCTGTGTGGTTATTGTCTTCACTATATATCTTCGGCACAACATACTGTAGCATATTTTTAGGAGTTTATAAACGATTGCCAACGCAACCCACTAAGTAGATTGTTAAATCAAATACACGACATGCGTAGTTGTTGATTCCTAACAAAATTTCATGTGTAATGTAACAAAGGGTGGTTTTTATACAAAAATATGACAACAAAAATCAGCTGTTTGTAAGAAAAACGTGCTTCGACGATGTAAACAAATCGAATGTTTACAAACTATTGCACATGTTTGAGAGGCAATTGCTTTTTTAACGTATGCGCATTAGAAACTTGCAAGAGAACTCAGAGAAATATGGGGAGATAGAGAGAGAGAGCATAGCATACAGCATCTCTAATTTCGATATCCAGAATCCTGGCTACAGGACATACATTTTTCACAACCAGTTTTCACATCCGCACCCAAGAATGAACATCTAAATCTTAAGTTAATCCGAGCAAAAGAAAAACATATTCCAAAATATATGTATATTAGATATGGAAAAATGTGTATATAGAGAAAATTGTAGAGGTAATGAAAATTGAATGGAAATTTCTGAAAAAAAACAAATAAAATGAAAAAGTGTTTAAATAATAAATGAAAAAAGTGGTTAAATATTAATTTAATTTTCTTTAAAATAAGGTCATTTATAACAAAAAGAAAGAAGAAGGGAGAAAAAAATCAAGGCGTAGTCCCTTTTGCTGTTTCAAAAGAAAATTTATAGGAAAAATCAATTGTATTTGCAATTAAAAAAGCAATGAAAATTTCAATGATGGAAAATCAACTTTGAGTAAGCTCAAATTTCGACCACAGCAGCTTGTAAGTAAAAAGGGATTAGGATCAGGGTCATTGTTGCTGCACTGCAATATGGATTACCTAAAATCACCCTATGGCCTGGGCGTAACCCTGGCTATTGCCCTCTTGACCTGTTCCCTGTTACAAGGTATGTATGACAGTAGCCTCAATACGTTCATGATTATGGAATATTTAGTTGATTTCAATTATGCCTTTTGGAAACCAAATATATTGCCAATAATATTTTATTTTTCGATTTTGAGTTTTTCTTAAGAGAAGTTTTATTTTCAAATTGTAATATTTTGTATTATAATTTCTTTTTATTTTTGTTTGAAAAAAATCCTTAATCCCCACAAAACTAATTGATTTAGCGAGTTATGTAACAGCTTCCACAAACAAAAAAAGAAAATATGAAAATGCATTTAAAATAATGAAACAGCCTCTAAACGAAACAGAAACAACCAGGATTCTAGAGGAAGTAATAAAGCAAAGGAACACAATAATCAATAAGCGAAACAATGATTTGATTTTTTTCTAAAGTTTTATCAGAAAACTTATTTAAAAGAGAAAACTTTGACAATTTTTTAAAATTTCCCCCATCAGCATAGACCACAAACAGCGACCTTTATCCAAGGGAAATACAACAACTATGGAGCATCAAATTTGAACACACATTCACAACAAATTACACATTAATATTAAACACATTTACACACAGAGTTGTATAGAGACCCAGCAGGAAGTCGATCCATTGCTAACAAAAAATAGGAATTTTAAAATTTGCCAAAGTTTTCTGTAAAGCATTTAACTCCTCACAAACGACCTTCGTAATAAGCCTTAAACCCCCTCTAAAAACCAAGCCTGCCTATCTGAAGTCGACAACAAATTTCCTGCATTGATAGAATTTTTTTCTCTTACCTTGCTTGATATGCGAATTAGAATTCGAAAACTAAACTAAACACTTTTTTGCTCTAAATAAATTTATTTTTAATACAATATATTTTTTTCAATCTACAGAGATTTCAACTATAAAGTAAATAAAAAATATAATATTTTTTAAGCAATACACATACATATATAAATAGACTAATAATATAATAAATATAGTATTGTAATCAAGCAAAGTATATATAGCTTTCTCCTTCCCCCACAAAAACAAAATAAATTTTCTTTTTCAATTGCCTTCCCTTAACTTTGCCAATAAGCGAAATGAACAAAAAAAAAAGCCAACAACGTTAATGCTAAGAACAAGCAAAACATACAAACGCAAACCTTAAGACAAACCTAAACGAAAATGAAGAAAAAAGAAAAACACAACAACAAACGAATCCCAATAATAAGGGTTGCGTTCGGCATACATAAGTATTTACATACATAGCCATGTATATATACTGTGTGTGAGATATGTTCGAAAATTGTAAAATAACAACAATTCAACATATATAAACGAGAAGAACAAACGAAACAACAACAAAATAAATCTAATGATGTTTTATAGCAAACTTCCATTAGTGATGATGTTAAAATAGATTTCTGTATCAACAGCCGAATCTTAATTCATACTCCTTCTGTTGCCAACAATCATCGTTCAAATATTTAGAAAACTAAAATAAAATTCGTCACAAGGGAATGCAACGTCACAAACCAAATAAACACCATTAAACAAATAAAAAAACTGCTATGTTTTACAACTACATTTACAACTGAACACATAATGTAGAGAAGACCTTTCCAAATAAAAAAAAATATATATAAACATTATCATCTATCCAATTTTTACAAGAATAAACGTAGAATGCTAGCACAATCGATACACCAAAAAACAGCACAGCATATGAGTACAATAACAAATCTATATATTTATATATACATGCTTGAAACATACAAACAATAAAAACCGATACCACAACATAACGTTGCCTTTCATTGTACCCAGTTTCAAGTGAACAAAGTGGAAAACGAATCTTTCATTGCGTGCGTGATAAAAACTTTAAATACCTAATTTTTCCATGTGTAGCTGCTGCTGCTACTGTACCACATCCCCTAAAGTATGCTTTGTTTTTTAATGTCATCTCTACAACCACCGAACGACACATTTTCCTTTGAACTATGTTACAATTTTGCTATTTATCACAACAACTCCTCTCTGAAAGTACAACTTATGGTATTTTTGTTGCTCTCTCTCATACACACACACATTCACCCACTCTCTAACTCCCAGTAGAATCTATTGCTATTTCCTATATGTAATTTTAGCCGATGACTCTTTCAAGCCATTAACTCAACTTGTTATCATAGGCGGCACATTTTGACGCTCTCCCAATCACTACACTCTCACAGCTCACTCACAGGTCATACAACAACTTTTATAGCATTTTTTTATAGGAACAACAAAATACACATTGCATTGCATTGTTTACATTTTTATTTTCTCTTTCCATTTAATGACAGATTTTAATAAGAAGCACACACTTACACACACACACAATATCACATGAACTTTCTTTTTCTTCCTCTCTTTCTCTGTGAATGTGAAGTTTTGATAATCTTTTCAATTTAAATATTTCTCCTCTCTCTCTATCTCTCTAAAGATTCACGGTCATCGTGTTTTCTTGTTTGAGACACTCTTAAATCTAAAATTAATTTAGTTTTCGTTTTTATTTTTTTTTGTTCGTTATAAACTCTTTTAATAATTCTCTTTCTCTCAATCTGTTGTTGTTGTTAATGTCAAATTGTCATTTTGAAATGCTAGCAAGTTGTGATAACTTGTTATAGTGTCTTATTTTATGCGGTCTGTTTAAACTGCCAGGTGCACTTTGAACATTTGCCATCATTGATGTTATTCACATGACTGTCAATATAAAAAAAAAATAACAAAAATCATTTTTATCTTTTATCCCAGAAAAAATACACTGCTAAAATGTCAGTTATGATAAGTTGCCTTAGAAGAAATTACTATATCCTCGACTGGGTAAAAATAGTTAGAAATAAACACAAAGTACTGAGAGGAAAATGTTATATAGTTTAAAATTGTTAAAACATGATGATAATAATTAAATTTAACAACAATATGACCCATGTATTAGGACATCCAGTAAAGACGACGGATATCTAAATTTGTTGTCAAAATATACTTTTTGTGATTTGATTTCTAAAATAAATCTTGGAAAATTGTGTTAATTGATAAAATTCAAATTCGTTATTTTCCAAATAGGACTTTCGAACTTTTTATAGTCTCCTCCTGGAGGTTATCATTTAACTACCTAAATCTTGAAATATAAAGAGATTTGTGATAAGTGAGTGCGTTACTGAGATCATCACGCAGACGAAACGGCTGAAGCAAGAAACTTGAAATTTTGTGCGTGAGATAAGGCTGGGTTATTGGAAATTCGAACTAGAAGGGTACGAAAAGTACTTTGTATTAGGCAAACGGGAAGAGCAAGAATTCTGAAATTCGGAATGTGGGTAACTGATGGAAAGTTAGAAAGATGTACAAAAAGGTTTTTGAAATTTCGACTTAAAAGTGTTCGAAAACTACTAAACTTTTCTAAATTTAGTTCTATTTGTATATATATATATATATATATATTGTACATATATAGCTAGAATCTCGAAATTGTATATATACTACAGATTGAGTGGTGTTGCCTGGTCATCGTTTTAGAAATTGGTATTTATGTGTATGAAAAAAACTAAATTTGGTATTATTTGCATTTCGTTGAACGTTGAATCCTGAAGATTGGAGTACCATTTGAATCGATCTAGATTTTTGAAAAATATTATAATGGGTGGACCAGATGAAGCACTCCTTCCGCTCCCTATTAGATTAAAAAATGCTGGACATTTATAGGGGGAACCAGAAGGTGGAATGAAAGGTCTGCAATTTAGACCTTGCTGAAAATAGTGCGATATGCAATGTCCGGGCGATTTTGTAGACCTGTTTTTATTGGAAATGTTTACCATTCTGTAAGTCATTCTTCATCTTTGAATATCTATTGTGAAGAAGTAAATGCGTCGTTAAGTTCGGCACGGTCGAGTGCATTCAAAATTTCTTAAAAAGATTGTCACCTAATAGGTAGTTTATTTGAAAAAAAAATGACAAATCAGGTTGGTAAACGGGACGGGTGTCGATGTAAAATCTTGAACACATATTAAAACTTTCTGGAATGAAGTTTTTTATTCATCAATTATTCATAATACCAAATTACAGGCGCTACGGGCGAAAGCCTTCTGAGTACCGAAAATGGGTCGTGTCCGTCTTTATATTTGTGCTATGTCGAAATGCCGTTCAAGAATGTAAAATACCAAATTCCAGCCACTTCGGTGGGAAAATGTTTTTAAAAAATCAGAACTTAAAAAGAGGACCGATATATCTCATTTTCAATAACAAATCTCTTAAAATTAGTCTAAATACTAAATTTGATATTATTTGCATTTCGTTGAGCGTATAGAGACCGAATCCTGAATATTGGAGTGCAGGATTGAGGTAGTTTTGAAAGATAGTACTGGTACAAGTTGGATTTAGGTGAACATATACGATATGTAGGATTGAGGTAGTTTAGGAAATTCGTACGAAAAGTACTAAATGGTACTAAATTTAGTAAAATTTGGATTTTGGGTGAACAAATAGAGCTGGACTACAGAATTTTGGAATACAAATTAGTTTTAGAGTGTAACATTGAGGTAGTTAAGGAAATTTCTTATTATGGAAACGAAAAGTACTAAATGGTACCAAATATTTAATAATTTGATTTTGTGCGCAGTATAGAATGGAGATAGGAGACATGGAGGTAGTTTTTAAAATTCGTAATTATGTGTACTAAATGGTACTAAATTTGGTACAATTAAGATTTGAGATTTGACTGTTAGAGCACATAATTGAGATAGTGTTGAAATTCGAACTTATATGTACGAAAAGTACTAAATGATACCAAATATGGTAGATTCTGAATGTATGTGAACGGATAGGGCTGGGATCATGAAATTTATGATTAATATTACTGTTGGAGTGTATAATTGAGGATGTTTTGGAAAATGGTACTAATGTCTACAAAAAGTAATAAATGGTACTAAATTTGGTACAATTTGGATGTTGTTGAACAGACTGAGCTGAAATCCTTAAATATGTACTTAAGATTATTATTGGAGTGCATGACTGAGGTGAGGGTAGAACTGTAATCGTGAAAGTTGCAACTAAGACTACTGTCGGAGTATAGGATTGAGGTCGTTTTGGAATATGGTTACGGAAAATACAGAATGGTGCCAAATTAGCAACAATTTGGATTTTAGCGAACAGATAGAGCAATAATTCTTAAATTTGGTCTAGGATTTTTATTTGGAAGCAGAATTGAAATAGTTTCAGTTGTGTGGCATTTGAAACCATCAAGTTGAAACCGACAATTTTCATTATTAATATAACCGCCGGGTGAGAAATGTGATTTATCGATTAATTTTGTTGAAAAACTGCAACAACCACATGGGTCCACGACGTTGTGAACGGTTTCAATTTTTGCATGAGCTGGAATTTATAGGGATATATGTGTGCCGTAAGTTAGTCCTAATTCCTAAGAAAGACGAGGAATCGATACATACGTCGCAAATTTGCCAATTGCTTGCGTAGTTGGACGATCATGGAAACCATAACAATCTCCTCCTTAAGCACGATATGTGGCTGTGGCAGAATTGACATTTTTAGTACGATTTGATAATTTTTATGGCTTCTGAGTTAATTAGCGAATGTTAGAATTTCAACTGAATGATGAGGCGCACCAAAATTGTATGAAAAATTCTAAATTTAGTACATTTGGCATTGAGTGCACGAATTGCGCTGAAATTTTGAAATTTGACTCAGAACAGTCGAATGTTATTTGTAAAACATTTAGAATCTTTAAAACTTGAAGAACTTTGGTAGTTTGAATGAAATATGTAGCTCGTGTCAGTCGTAGTTTTGTTAAGGAGAGAGGTTAAAAAATTTCAATAATTTATATTTGAAATTGATTTTTTATAGAACGCTTGCAAGCAAATTGTATACAAAGAAGTTAGGTGAAACAAGTTGAAATAAAAATAATAGTAACAGTAGAAAACTGCACAAAAAATAATATGCACCGTTTTTTAAATTAGTTTAGTACTCAAAAGTTTATTCAGCTTGTTAATCATGTTGTACAAAAAAATCTCATAAGAGGGCAAACCTTTCATTGTAGGTTCCTAAGCACTCAAGTATTGTTTAACCTTTTTTCCAATAGTTAATCGAATTACTATCATATTTGAGTGGCGTATTTTTTAACAAAAAAAAGTTTGACAAAGAATATTTGTTTAATATTTTGTCTATTAAAGGAGGCACATACAGAGAGCCGTTCCGTAAATCGAATTGAGGCCAAAATGTGTAAAGTACAAATTTGTGTATATAGTCCAAATTATTTAAATTTCTTCTAAATCGAATTGTGCCCTCACAAAATTTTGTTGGTTCTTGTAAAAGGAAACACAGAGACTAATTTAAAGAGATTTTTTCGTCGATATTGAATTTGCTTTTCTTGATATTTGGCTTTTATATTTCGGAAACAGGGAACTGTATCTTACGAATGCAAGAATGTTGCGATGTTCATATCCTATTCTAGGATAGTTACAGAAAATACTTCTATGGTGACGGAAGCTCAAAGGGCTAAAGTTTCAGATAAATTCGATTACTGAAAATGTTTCATTTGAAGGATTTTAGACCAAATTATGATTCAAAAATAAGAACTCCAATGCAGCTAAAACCTTAAAAAGTAACGAAAATATGGCGGAACATTTAAAAAATAATTGTAATTTTTAATTTTTTTAGAATACTGTAATTGTTTTCTATTTCCTTCAAAGTAATTAAAGGGATTAACCTAAAAGCGGCAACTAAAAAAATAATTATCTAGCTTACAAATCTATGTTTTGTAAATGTAAACTTAAACAAGATGAAATAAAAAAAAAATAACTCATTACTATATCTCACTGCGAAATCATAACTCCATAACCCACCCCGAAAAAAACACCCTATCCTCTTTTATCATTACCAAATTCAAAATACTTTCCTTTATTTGTTTTTGTTTTCGAATTTGTTTTATTTGCCCCATTATAAAGAAAAAAATCAAAATAAGAAAAAATTCTTCCATTTAAAATAGAAACAAAAATAGACAGAAAGAAAACAACAATCTTCCTTTTTGCATCTATATTTTTATGTTTTTTTTCTGTGTACTTTTCTGTTGAAACAAAAAAACAACAATAAAATTAAACAAAAAAACAACTCTCCATTACCAATCCTATTTATGACATACAACGTCGTATCCCAAATAAACGTAGTAAATGCATCCGAAGATGAAGAGCGTCTGGTACGTGACCTCTTTCGAGGGTACAATAAACTCATACGACCCGTACAAAATATGACACAAAAAGTTGGAGTAAGATTTGGTTTGGCGTTCGTACAGCTAATCAATGTCGTAAGTGTTTGTCAATTACAAAAACTAAATTAAACTAAAAAAAATAAAAAAAACAAAAATCAAACTCAAAATAAGTACTTGTACTAAAAAACAAAAACAAACATGCCTTTATGTACTAATACTTATTATCACTAATCAAAAAACAAAAAAAGTGCAATACTTTATGTGTTCCATAATCAAACAAAAAATGGAACTTATTTCTTTGTGTTTGTTCATGAATTTGTTTGTTACGTTTTCCCTGTTTAGCGCAAGAATATACCTAACCCCAAATATTTAGCTAACCAGTAGTAGTGCGAGAATATATCTAGTTTTATTTTCTTTTCGTTTGGTTATATTTCCTTTTTGTACAAATATTCGATTTATAGCTGAATTTAAGTTTTGTATTTTTTTCTCGTCAATAAAATGTAAATATATAACATACTTACTAACATTTAGTGTAGTAATATTAAATATTATTGAATATTTCTGCTTATAAATAATTAAATAATATATATTTAAATATGAATCACACAAATACTAATAATTTACTAAAAATATCTCGAGAACTCTTAAAATACAGAAACATATATTTCCCACCTTTGACATTTACTATTAACATATTTTCGAAAAGTAAAAAAGAGTATATAGAAGACCTATTGACCTATAGCCTTTTATTATATCCTCGAGGTCTGATAAAAGGAAACTCACAAAAAGGTGCTGTTGGCTATACCAAAAAGCGTGTTTTGAGGAGAAAACCAGAGTGTCGTATCATAGCAAATCGGAAGGTATTCCCATGAAATATCTGAGTTTTTCGTAGAAGTCTAAAAGGCATTTGGATTTTCTACGTTGAAGTCTTTTATAGAAGTCTGTAGAAGTCCATGAAGTCTTTTTATAGTGGTGAAAAGTGATCAATTTGTCTCGAAGAAGTATTGGTAATCTCTTATAAATGACCAGATGGTGTTCTCGTAGAAGACCAGAAAAAAATTACAAAATACGAGCAGGATATATTTACAAGGAAGACCCGATGTTTTTCTTTCTGTTATAGAAGAATATAAGTCATTTTCACAAAATAAAGTTTTCTAGGCGACACGAAGGCCTCTTCATAGCAAAATCAGAAAAACTTCAGAAAGAGTTCAGAAATTATTCTCATAGAAGAACTGGAACAGAAGGAAAATCAAAGGACTTCACATAGAAACTTGTGTGATGACTGAGGCCATGGCAAAAGGTCGACTTAAGGTAACCCCCCCATTCACGATTTTAATTTTTCAAGATTTTCAAAGGTTATTGTTTTGTTGTTGTTTTTTGTAATTAAAGAAAAGTCCTTATTTTTGATGGCGGGCATGATAACTCCTCATTGGAACATCGGAATCCGAAAATTCCAACGGTGTTAGAAATAGTACATGTCTGGCTCTCTCGAACTAGGATTATTGACTTCGCTCTAATATTATTGGAAAATCGCCGAATTTTGACCAAAAACCAAGTTAAACCAGTGAGCGGAGCAGTATAGATGGACGGGGCCGACCATATGATACCCTACACAACTATCACGGAACTCTAACTTTTGCGTATGTTTATTTCGAGCCTGATCAATATTCCGTGATATTTGCACCCTCTTGACCGATTAGAGATCAAAAGCACCTCTTCCTTACACTGACATATTTTCCGAATATTCCAATATTCTGTACAGCTCTTCTAATTACTTGTCCAGATTCACTTCACCGTGTATTGTGTTGTGATTTTCGGTTTTGATCAACTCGAAAAAATACAAAAAATTTAGTTTTGGGTCCACTTCATCCCAAAATTTTAATCTGATCATCACAGAAAATTATAGGCGTTGTCCTTGACCATACCTGGATTCTCAAGGAAAATTTCAAAGCGATGAGCGCTATATTTCCCCCCTCTATTGTGATAATATGTTACTAAATAATATATGAATACGTAAACTCATGAAAATATTTACGTGTAACTCCCACATCCGAGTACATACGACCATATAATTGGTGCCAATTTAAAGGTGAACCACTCATATTGTATATACTATCAACATCTTGGGTCGATGTCCTTCAGGGGTAAATATATACGCAATAGAATACAAATTTTGTCATTTTTCACACAAAAGTCAGGGTACATTTGACCCGCTGAATATTGACCGATCTTTATCAAAGCAGGCATGCTCATTCTTTGGCTCGATCCCCTTCTCCATGCAAAAATTCGCCTTTGGAGCGACCAGAAAAACCGACAAAAATTAAGTATTTGGTCCATTTCATCCCCTAAATATTAACCGATCTTTACCAAAAACATTGGGCAGAACCCATTCTACATGCAAAATTTCGTGAAGATTGGTCCATAACTGTGGCCTGTATCGTGTTTACAAATTATAATGGACATGTCTAGATCGACCCAGCTAGTCGAGATATGACGATCGGTATACTTAAAGGTGGGTCTAGGACCAATATTTCGCGGTGACAACATAGTTGTGTAGGGTATAAAAATAAGGAAGATCTTCACCGATTGGCTTTATCCTAGTTCATACGATAGCTATACACTTACAGAGAAACGTGTAAAAATTTGGAATCGATTGGGTTATTAGTTTTTGAGTTATCGTGCCCGCCATTTGTTTAGAGAAAAACGCGTTTAAAGTTTGAGAAACCCTTCAGCCGTCACTTGATGCTGACACAATAAATCGGCTATATCTTCAAGAGTTCTTGATGATTTTTACTTGAAATTTTGTAGGGACATTCTTGAATTAGTGTAGATTCGAATTATGTTAAAAAAATTTTTGGCCCCGAAAATGGGGGGAGTCCCTTAAATTAAAAAAAAAATCTTCCAAGATGTCTTTTATCCTCTAAAACCTCCACCATTAGCCAGATCGACGATTTTTAATTTTTCAAAATTGTGCACATTTGTGGGTGGCACCAAAAGGAATTACCAAATATATCAGTTCCATCTTATTATTGGGTGGTCCCAAGACTAGTGAACAGATAGGGATCACCATTTGAATCGATCTAGATTTTTTAAAAATATTGTAATGGGTGGACCAAGTGAAGTATTCCTTCCGCTCCACATTAGATAAAATGCTGGACATTTATAGGGGAACCAGAAGGCCTGTCCCATGTTTGCTGAAAATAGTGCGATTTGCAATGTCCGGGCGACGTTAAATTCGGCATGGTCGAGTGCATTCAAAATTTCTTAAAAATGTCGGAAACGCAGATTGTTTATTTAAAAAAAATGACACATCAAGTTGGTAAAGGGAACTAAGGGTCGGAATACCAAATTACAGTCGCTACGGGCAAAAGCCTTCTGCGTACCGAAAATGGGTTGTGTTCGCCTTTATATGTTTATACCATTCACCACACTGTGCTACAGGGTATTATGTCTGTGTGTATATGTTTGTAACAGGCAAAAGGAAACGAGATAGACACATGGTTACTTTTGAGAATATTCATAGAATCACTTTCTGAGCCGATGTACGCATATCCGCCCGTCCATGTATTTTTGTGAACAAAGTACAGGTCGCATTTATGATCCGATTTGGATGAAATTTGGCATAGGTCACTTATTTGGTCCAAGGACGAACCCTATTGAAATTGGGAAAAATCGGTTCAGATTTAGATATAGCTCCCATATATATTTTCGTCCGATTTAATGTAAATGGTTCTCCAAAGTCCCTAAATATCTTTCGATTTGCACGAAATTTGGCATAGAGTTCTGAATGAGCTCTAGAATGATGTGTGTTAAGTTTCCTGAAAATCAGTTCAGATTTAGATGTAGCTCCCATATATATTTCGTTCGATTTAATGTAAATGGTGCACCAAAGTCCCTATATATCTTTCGATTTCCACGAAATTTGGCACATCGTAATTAATTATGTCTAGAATGATGTGGAAGTTTCCTGAAAATCAGTTCAGATATAGATATAGCTCCCATATATATTTCGTTCGATTTATTGGAAATGGTGCACCAAAGTCCCTATATATCTTTCGATTTGCACGAAATTTGGCACAGCGTAATGAATTAGGCGTAATGAATTAGAATGATGTGCGTAATGAATTAAAATGATGTGCGTAATGAATTAGAATGATGCGTGTTAAGTTTCCTGAAAATCGGTTCAGATTTAGATATAGCACCCATATATATTTTCGTCCGATTTAATGTAAATGGTACACCAAAGTCCCTATATACCTTTCGATTTCCACGAAATTTGGCACATCGTAATGGATTAGGCCTAAAATGGTATGTGTTAAATCGGTTCAGATTTAGATATAGCTCCCATATATTTTCGTCCGATTTAAGGTAAATGGTGTACCAAAGTCCCTTAATATCTTTCGGTTTGCACGAAATTTGGCACAGCGTAATAAATTAGGTCTAGAATGATGTGTGTTAAATCTGAAATCGGTTCAGATTTAGATATAGCTTCTATATCTGACCAAATGAAAAATTTTGTATAGTTTCCAGAATGACATGTTTATGGATCCAATTTAATTTTACTGGTCTTTTAAAAATGCGACGTCATTTAAGATTCATCTGTTGAACATACCCAAAGTCGTGAAGGGTATCATATAGTCGGCACCATCCGACTTTACTACTTTCCTTACTGGTTTGGCTATGTCGAAATGCCGTTCGAGAACACGAAATACCAAATTCCAGCCACTTCGGTGGAAAAATGTTTTTAAAACTCATCCAATGTTCAACAAATCTCCTAGAATTAGTCGTAAAGTGTGTGCAACATTTCGAAGCAATATCGTTCATATTGCGAACTATTTTCTTATTTCAAAAAACATAGACGGAAGTGGCTAAAACAACATAGAATAGTATTCTGATAAAGAATACATAAAAAAATTATGGAGTCTTAGAGGAATATTTAGAAGTGTTCCATACCGAATAACAAATTTAATATACACTGCTCCTTGTGAGAACATTCAAAGAAGAACATTCATTATGTTTGGTTGAAATAGGTTTAGATAAAGATATATATAATACCCATACATAATTTATTATAGGCTACAATATGATCCTTATTGTAAGCAAGAACTGATTTGGATTATATAAAGGATGTTTGGCGTCATATAGCCGACCTTGTTTGATTTCGGTCATTTTCCAAAGTTTCTATCTTCTTTATGGCGAAGAATACAAATGGTCTGGTCACAATTTCTTTCTTATTAAAGTGTTCGAAAATTGTATATTTTCATTTTCAAAGGTGGTGAATATAATTACATTAAAATAATAAAAAACAATAAAAAACACTAATATAAGCAGAAATATTCATTAAATGTAAATAAAATATATTTTTACTAACAGCAACAATTTATATAAGTTCTAATATAATTTAAAGTAAATAAAAACCCCCAACTAAATGCTTTGTAAAATACAATAAATAAATTCAGAAAATAACAAGATAATAACAAAAAAAAAACTAACAAATGTTAACAAAGCTAATCCTAGTGTTAGTGAATGACTTGAAGTTTTGTTATGAATTTGAATCACTATAGAACTCTTTGAATCTTGCAAAAAAGATAACGATCACTGATTTGTTTTTTTTTCTTACAAACTTCTTCTTATTTTCTCTACTACTACTTCGTAATAATTCTCACACATAAACGACAATCGATTAAATTACAAAATTATCAATAAAAATTGAAAAAAAAATCTCAAACGCAAAACATTTTTTTTCCGATTCGTTCCCCCCCAAAAAATCAATCCTGGAAAAAACGACACATACACACTCACAATTTTTTTGAATTATCGTACACTAATCTTCGTACCCGCCTAACAAACTACACACGTTTTTTTTTTTTTTGTTTTTGTTGTTACAACAAAATCAAATCAAACCAAAATCACAAATCAATTGTTTTTGTCACAAATCGCTACGCGTAACCCCCTCACAACAAAAAACCAAAACCAACCACCAACACCACCACTACTACCACAACCACCCACACCATGACAGAATGAGAAAAATCAAATTATGAAATCAAACGTATGGTTACGTTTGGTTTGGTATGATTATCAATTACAATGGGATGAAGCTGATTACGGCGGTATTGGTGTTCTACGTTTGCCGCCCGATAAGGTTTGGAAACCGGATATTGTATTGTTCAATAAGTGAGTACACATTTACAATTGTCATTAATATCATATGCGCACATACATAGATACATTTTATAATTGAAATAATGTGTAGAGTAGTCGCTAGGGATATTAGTTAGAAGACTTAGCTCCTAAGAAATTAAAAATTATTTTAAAACCTTCTATTGTTATTTATAGTTGAAGAAATTAGTATCTAAATAAAGCCCCAGAAGAGTGTTAAGATTAATATATGAATACAGAGCATCATATTTGTATCGAACAATAGCAATAAGTGAATATTTCAATACTGAACTTTATCTCAGCCTTTTATTCTATATAAACCCTTACAAGTCCATCAAAATTGTTCTTCCAAGTATACCTTCTATATATTAGGTTGGGGAAGAAAAATAAATCCATTACTTTTTATATGAACTATAGAACTTTATTTAACATGTTTCGGATTGTTCGATTTGGGCAAAATACGCACCGTTTTATTGTATGATTTGTTGTCATTGTAAAGGTATCTTCATAGTGCCTCTCTCATAGAAGTCCTGCTCTCTACAAAAAAAAAAAAAAAAAAAAAAAACTCTAGTAGTCGATTTTCACAATCCTCCATAGATACCAATTTTTTATCATTAAAGAAATTTTGCAATACAAGACAAAAATATGATAATCGCTTGGTGCCGAGACCGGACTTTATGGCCGATGCATTAAAAGTTCCCAACCAAGCTCCCGATGTTTCGGGCGAGTCACTGCAGATGTGTGTGGCTTTTTCGAAGACCGGCTTATCTGTGTGGGGTGCATCTTTAACTTCAAAAATTCCTGAACGGAAACCAAAATTGTACTTAATTGGCTGTTACAGTATCGGAACCATAAACGCTATTCACAATTTTAGCCGCTTGGCTTGCAAAGGCAAAGACAACTGTAAAATGTACCGAATTTTCTTTTTTTATTAATTTCTCTTTCGAGATGAGCTACATGATCGGAGTTGCAATGAAAAGGAAAGCCAGAGAGATACTGGATTCCCACCACTATGCGACGCGTTTCGCCGTTGGTTATGCGGCTCATCAGGCATATTGGGCAATGTGGCTTACAAATGTCTTTACTTGATAAGTTGTATTTATGTCGACTATTGTTGCGAAATTGCATCTACGAATTAAATTCAACCGTTTCAAGGTTCGGACATTTGTTCACTTCGATTTTTAACACCCTGTAACTAACAACTGAATGCACTAAACAAAAAACATTTTTGTACTGCGAAATGTCAACCTTCCAACGAGCATAAATCTGAAATTGTTTGATCGATACTTTACGAGTAATCTATCAGTACAGCCATCTGCAGAAAAAATAATGGATTTCTTTTTCCCCAAACTAATATATTAAATTTGTCCTTTCGAGGCCCCATAAAATATATATTCATGATCAGATTGGAATTCTATGTAAATTTAGCCATGACTGGCTGTCTGTCGAAATCACGAAAGAGCTCGCAAAATTTATGATAGAGCTTTGACATTTTACACGTACATTGATAAGTCACATAGGATGTTTGGTACCGAGAATGTAATATATTAGTCCACGTTTTGGGTATAGTCCACACAATTGTTTTTATTAACAATTTAATATAACGGTACTCCACAATATTCGGAGGATTTTGGTCATGTTTTTCAACCAAGATGGTTGTAATTTTACAATTTGGGAATCTAATTGAGTATGGAATTTTTCTAGCAAATATTATCCGCATTGGACCACTTTTTAGGTTAGATACAATATAACGATACATTCAACATTTGGGTATTTTAAAAAGTTTGGAACATTTTTCAACCAAATTGGCTATAATTTAATATTTTAGATTCTTAGAAAATCTTCTAATAAATTGGCAATATTTATAAAGCTTCAGAGGTACCCCCATTATTCGATATTTTGTGAACGTTTTTCAACCGAATTGGCTGTAATTTTGGGTGCTCATTGGGTGACAAATCTTCGTATTAAAAATCAGCAATACGGATCTTTGTCCCAGAGCATGTCCCCCATATAATACCCTTTTTATATTAGGGGTATTCACCTCACCAAACTGTCGTACGGATATGATGTCTTTGAGCATAGGTTTGTAACAGGTAAACGGGATGGACACATGGTTCAATTTGAGAATATGAGTAGAATCACTTTTAGAGTCGATTTATGCATGTTCGTCCGCTTGTCCATGTTTAATTGTAAACAAAGTACAGGTTGCATTTATGATCCAAATTGGATGAAATTTGGCACAGATCACTTATTTGGTCCAAGGACGAGCCCTATTGAAAATGGAGAAAATCCGTTCAGATATAGATATATATCTTCCATATATGAGGTTGAGAAAAAATAAATCCATTATTTTTTCTGTAGAATCGGTTAAAGGATAAAGTTGACCGGCATGTTAGCAGTCGTAACAACGCCAGGAGCTAAAAATCGACCATAAAACTGTTTTAAGCCATTTACACAAAGTTGGATTCAAAAAGAAGCTCGATGTTTGGGTGCCACACCAATTAATAGAAAAAACCAGTGAGCGGAGCAGTATAGTCGGACGGGGCCGACCATATGATACCCTACACAACTTCCACGAAAATCTAACTCTTTGTGGTTCTATATTCTGAGCTCGGGCAATATTTGCACCCTCTTGACCGACTAGATGTCAACAAATATTTCTAATATTCAGTAGACGAGGGGTGCACTTGTCCAGATTTTCTTTACTGTGGGTTATGTTATGATGTTGGGCTTTCAATTGTGGCCTATAGATCGAAAAAAAACCTTTGGTCCACTTCATCCCAAACTTATTATCTGATCATTACCGAAAATTATATGCGTTGTCATTGATCATAATGGGAATCTCATGGAAAATTACAAAGCGATCAGCGCTATATTTCCGCCCTCTAGTGTAGTAATGGGTTACTAAATAATATATGAACACGTAAGCACCTGTAAATATTTATGTGTAAATCCCATATACGAGTACATACGACAATATAATTGGTATCAATTTAAATGTCAACCACTATCAACTTCTCGGGTCTATATCCTTAAGAAGTAAATACATACGCTGTACAATACAAATTTTGCAATTTTTCACTCAAAAGTCAGGGACCATTTGACCCGCTAAATATTGACCGATTTTTATTAAAACAGGCATGCTTGTTCTTTGGTCCAATCCCCTTCTCCATGCAAAAATTCGCAGTGTTTGGGCCATAATTGCGGCCTCTGGAGCGACCAGAAAAACCGACAACAATAAAATATTTAGTCCATTTCATTTCGTAATTATTAACCGATCGTTTCCAAAAACAATAGGGGTCTTCATTGTCCAGAATCCATCATGTATGCAAAATTTCGTGAAGATTGGTCCATAACTGAGGCCTGTATCGTGTTTACAAATTATAATGGACAGACGGACGGACGGACACACATGTCTAGATCGATTCAGCTAGTCCAGATATGACGATCGGTATACTTAAAGGTGGGTCTAGGACCAATATTTCGCGGCGTTACAAACGATTGGGGCTGCTCAAAGCTATAATACCCTGACAACATAGTTGTGTAGGGCGAAGCCTTGGCCAAACGGAATGAGATCGACCCATTTCCTAAACAGATGGTGACTGGAGATGAGAAATGGATCACATACGATAAGCCTGTGCGAAAACGATCGTGGTCAAAGAGCGGTGAAGCACATCAAACGGTGGCCAAACCAGGACTAACGGCCAGGAAGGTTCTGCTATGTATTTGGTGGGACTGGAAGGGGATTATTTATTATGAGTTGCTTCCATATGGCCGGTAAATTCTGATCTCTATTGTCAACAACTGGACCGTTTGAAACTTCGGGAGCTTAGTTAGGAAGTTTTAAGGCAGTTTTAAGGAATGGCCCAAATCGGACATTCCGAAGCATGTTAAATAAAGTCCTATAGTTCAAACAAAAATAATGGATTTCTATATTCTCCCCAACCACATATATTTTCGTCCGATTTTAAACAAATGGTACACCAAACTCCTAATTTTGTACAGCGTACCGAATTAAATCTAGATTGATGTATGCAAAGTTTTTTGAAATCGGTTTAGAATTAGATATAGCTATCGTATATAATTTCGTGTTTGTCCGATTCAGTCAATCCGTGAAGTATTGTTGAAATCGGTTCTGATTTAGATATATTTTCTTCCGATTTTTATAAATTTAATTCCGGGATGTTTGGATCATAATAATAAACAGACGAAAAAACTTCCATCTTCTAAATATATTCCGATCATTGCCAAATATGTATATATATATATATATATATATTGGTTTCGTCTTTGGACAGAACATTTAGTGTGGCTCGACCCGACTTGAACTCAAAAAGAATGGTCAAACTTTAGGATAGTAGTCAGGATAGTTAAATCAAATATTAAACACAATAAGAATATCTGTTCCAAATCAGTTAGCATAGGTCATCACATTAACAAACACCATTATATCATGTTAGATATCATGCTAATTTGTTTGTAAAGAAAAACTTTTTTTATGACAATAATATTTACAGCTTCTAGAGTGTTTTTTATTGATTCCCCAAATTATTGAAAATATAACTAATAAATAATATTTTTTTCTTATTCTTATGACGTAAAAAAAATGAAAAAAATATAAAACCTCCAGTGCTGATGGTAACTATGAAGTACGCTACAAATCGAACGTCTTGATCTATCCAACGGGAGAAGTGCTATGGGTACCTCCGGCCATTTATCAGAGTTCATGCACCATTGATGTCACATATTTCCCCTTCGATCAGCAGACATGTATTATGAAATTCGGTTCATGGACCTTTAACGGTGATCAGGTGTCATTGGCCCTGTATAACAACAAGAATTTCGTCGATTTATCAGATTATTGGAAATCTGGCACATGGGATATTATTGAAGTGCCGGCCTATTTGAATGTCTACGAGGGAGATGGTAATCATCCAACCGAAACCGATATTACATTCTATATAATCATACGAAGGAAGACCCTTTTCTATACGGTGAATTTAATTCTTCCCACTGTGTTGATTTCATTTTTGTGTGTTTTGGTATTTTATTTGCCAGCTGAGGCTGGTGAGAAGGTAAGAACTGCTCCTATTAATTTCGAACGAGTGACTCGATTATTAATGCTTTGTAAATTGTTGTCAGGTTACATTGGGTATTAGCATTTTACTGTCACTGGTTGTGTTCCTGTTGCTGGTATCGAAAATTCTACCGCCAACATCGCTGGTGCTGCCGTTGATTGCTAAATATTTACTATTTACTTTCATTATGAATACGGTGTCGATTTTGGTCACTGTCGTAATTATCAATTGGAATTTCCGTGGACCGAGAACACATCGTATGCCCAATTGGATTCGCCGGGCTTTTCTACAATATCTACCTGCCATATTGCTAATGAAACGTCCACGCAAAACACGTCTACGCTGGATGATGGAGATGCCCGGAACCAGTGCTCAAACGTATCCCACTGCCTATGGTTCACCGGCAGAAATGCCCAAACAGATTAGCGCCATTGGGGGTAAGCAGTCGAAGATGGAAGTTATGGAATTGTCAGATTTACATCATCCTAACTGTAAGATTAATCGTAAAGTGAATAGTGGTGCCGATTTGGGTCTGGGTGATCATGGGCGAAGAGAAAGTGAATCATCGGATTCGATATTGTTGTCGCCAGAAGCGAGTAAGGCCACCGAGGCGGTCGAATTTATAGCGGAACATTTGCGAAATGAGGATCTTTATATACAGGTAATGTGCTGAGCATATATATTCATATATACTTATTATGGGTGCAGGGTATATTAAATTTATAACTTTGTTCGTAAAACTTCGAAATATTCGCCGGAAACTCCATAATATGTACAGGGTTGCCCATATTCGACGGACCCATGTTTTTTTTATCAAAGAAAAAAAAAATAAAAATTTTGCGGTTGGCAATGTTAATCATTTAAATTGTTCCAAGTAGATTTGTTTACATCAATTTTTGAATATGATATCTCTCAAATGGCCGCATCTGGCGTTGATGACGTATTGTGCCCTTTTTGCTGCATTTTACATCGTTTTTGCCAACATTTCGGCCGGAATAGCGGCTATTTCTTCACGAATGTTGTCCTTGAGCACTTCTACGGTCCTTGGCTTGTTAACGTAAACCTTTGACTTCAAATATCTCCACAAGAAGAAGTCAAGTGGCGTCAAATCGGGCGAACGAGGTGTCCAGTCCAAATCACCATTTTTCGACATCAAACGGCCCGGAAACAAATTCTTCAGAAAATCGATTGTTATGCGACTTGTGTGCGGTGGAGCGCCGTCTTGTTGAAACCAGAACTGCTTTATACGTTTTCGACGAATAATGGGAATCACAAAATTGGCCATCATGTCGCGATAACACTCCTGATTGATGGTAACAGCATGGCTATTTTCATTTTGGAAGAAAAACGGCCCAATGACTGTTTTCGCACTAACGTCGCACCAAACTGTGACTTTTTCGTCATGAAGAGGTACTTCTTGTATCTCCTGAGGATTTTCAGTGGCGTAAAAACGGCAATTTTGCTTATTTACGGTCCCATTCAATGTGAAATGGGTTTCATCGGACATGATAATTTTGCTCCAAAATTGCTCGTCATATTCGGCCATTTCGATGACTCTTTGGGCCCATTCCAATCGACGAGGCTTGTCCGCAGGCAACATTCTTTGCGTCAATTGAATTTTGTACGGGAACAAATGCAAATCAATGCGAATAATCCGTTGTAAAGTGGACCGAGTCATGCCCAACTGCTGAGAACGACGTTTTTGGGATGTTCTCTGGGGACCTCTTAACACTGGCTCGTACGGCAGCGATATTCTCGGCCGATCGCCTTGGTCGACTTTTATATGGCCTCTTCGGATTAGAAAGAACCATTCCGGTCGAAAATTGTTCGTATAAACGCTTAATGGTGTTCTTAGAAGGCGCACTTCTCATATTTTTTAATGTTTTAAAAGCACGTTGAGTTTTCACAATTGACTTCTTCTGTTGAATGTAAATTTCAACTATTTCAGAGCGCTCGCGTGGCGTGTATTGGTTCATGGTAAAAATCTACTTGGACTGACGCTTCAAACGCGGTATGTCATTAAGAGATGTGACATCTCTGTCAAAAGTTATGGTGTTGCCAGATGGGTCCGTCGAATGTGGGCAATCCTGAATATATTCTTTATCAAATAAAATTCTATGTTGATTTAGCATTATCAATTTATTACAATCACGATAGAGCTCGAACCATTTAAATTTTGCTTACATCGCTACTACTCCTAGGATGTTTCGTATTGCGATTGTGATATATTGGCCCATCTCGCATAATATTATATTTATTACACCTTTTGTCATATCAACCCAATTAATATATTTTTCTATTCCAGACTCGTGAGGATTGGAAATATGTTGCCATGGTCATTGATCGACTGCAGTTATATTTATTCTTCATTGTGACCACTGCCGGTACTATTGGCATTCTAATGGATGCTCCACATATCTTCGAGTATGTCGATCAGGATCGTATCATCGAGATTTACAGAGGCAAATAGATGAATTTTAAGCGAAAACACAAAAAAATAGCAGAAAACACTTTTAATATGAAATGCCAAAAATAAAGTTAAACATTGCAAAATGCAACAATAAGGTTTAGTAAAAATTCGTAAACAAATAGAAGAAAACGGACAAACATTAAACAATAATATGAAATTTTTAAAATAAGAAAAAAAAACTTCCATTTAGAATGTAAACAATGAAGAAAAATTGGCCCAAAGAGAAACAAAAGCAAACAAAACAACAGGAAGGAAAAATGGAAATTATAACCCCAAACTCTCTAAGCCACACAAAATAGTAGTTTTAATAATATTGAAAATTAATTAATGAAATAACAAAGAATTGAAAATAAAACAAAAATACACAACCTTTTAATATAATAACAATAATATTAAATACAAATAATAGTAACACTTTTTACTGCTAAACAATTTTTGTAAAATTTCCAAAGAAGCCAATGAGGACACAATTTGGCCACAATTTCACTTACCATCAGTAGATTTTGTTTTTATTTTTTTTATGAAAATGTTATATATAATTCATTTGTTCAATAATTTTAAGTTAAGACAACGACCCTCACTTAAAATAGTTGTTAAGAGCTTGAACAAAACAATAATAAGTAATTGACACAAATAAATGAAGGAATGAATGAATGGAGTACATTTGTTAATGATAGTCGACCACTTTTTCACAATAGGCAAACAAACTAATCAGAGATTTATGCAAAGAAAAAAAAAATGAAGGCCAATAACACTTTTTCATTTTTAAACAAAAGTTGTGAAATCAAAAGAAAAACGAAAGAAATATGAAAAAAACTAACATTGGAATAAAATTGAAATCGTAATAAAAAAGTCAAAGTTGAAATTGTACAACAAAGGTGTATTAATTTATAGTATTGTGGCTGAATATAAAAACCATATTTATAGGCTATTTTTATACTCTTTGGCTTATTTATGACTAAACAGGAAAAAACAAAAACACAAATATTGTGTTTAGATCCAAGTTTCTTTGGGTCAACTCTGTTTCAGACAATTTTTAGTCGATTTATAAATATGTCTGGGCGAAGCGCTGGATAACTCTCGAATGTAGTAACAGTTTTCATGTAAACTTTTAACATCGTAATTTGTCTTCCAAACTTCAATTAAATTCGAAGATAGGCAAGATCGGTCCACTGTGTATTTTTTCTGAATATTAATTGTATAATCAAATGTAGACGAAGTATCTAATGGTCTATATTAACCAAGTCTGTATAATTTATAAATATGAGACTCGTTTCAAACATTCTAGTACTTTTCAAACAATAGTACAATCTGTTTTGAACCTTCCACAAAAAGTGTCAATATTTGAAGCATTTGTAAATTTCAAAAGAAAAGGGCAGAGTAACCGATTTGATCTACTGATTGTATATCTTACTGTTTTTTTTTTTTTTCAAATATAAATTATATCCAATAAGGTCACTTCTTCTGGTACATCCCCACAAAAGGTCTACACTTGGATAACAATTTTGTATAATGCGAATTCTGTGTGGTCATAACATGATAGACCTTTATATTTATACCAAAAAAATATTTTGTGCCATTTTGGTCCATCATTTTTCTCCAAAAACTGATACACTTTTGAAAAATTACAAATTCCCTAAACCTAGCTTTTTTACTTCTCAATACGTCGAAATGATGCATCAAACAGCTGTGACATGACACCCAATGATATCTTTTATATTTCCGAACATCAAGGAAAATTTTAAAAATCTTTAACTTCAACAGGGCCACCATGAGGTGGGCATTCGAAATACCTAAAATCGAGCTGAGAAAACAGAATATAGGTTACATACATTCCGGTCGGAAAAGTGGGCTAGGTATGTAGTTTTGTTAAAAAAAACGTAGAAATAAATCGAAATTGTCAAAATGCAAACAAAAAACAGCCATCATTTAATGTTACCCACCATTAAATGATGGCTGTAAAAAACTTGAAACTATATTGATGTTTGGAAGAAGGAATGATAACTCAAAAAATACAATAGAAAACTATTTATAAAGCCGTTAAGATTATGCGGGCCAAATTTGTATGACAATCAAAATATCGAAAATTAATGGCGGCTCCTAGAAGAAAAATCATGTTATGATATGTCCTTGCACATACCGAAAACCAGTAAAGTCGGACTGGGCCGACTATATGATACCCTTCACCACTTTGGGTATATTCTACACATGTATCCTATATATCTATATCTGAACCGATTTCAAGGAAACTTGCCAGAGACTAATTTATATTACTTCAGCACATTGTGTCAATCGGCCTTGCTATGGATCTTTTCGCGAAGCTTAGCATCATCATTCTAGACTTAATTCTATACCAAAATTCGTGAAATCGAAAGATATATAGGGTCTTTGGTGCACCAATTACATAAAATCGGACGAAAATATATATGGGAGCTATATCTAATTCTGAACCGATTTTCACGAAATTGTGCACACGTCATTATAGACTTATTTCAGTACGATATGACAAATTTCATACAAATCGAATGATTTTTAGAGACTTTGATGCACCAATTACCTAAAATCGGATGCAAATATATATGAGAGCTATATCTAAATATGAACCGATTTTCCCGAAACTTTGCACACATCATTCTAGACTTAATTCAGTGCGCTATTCCAAATTTCGTGCAAATCGAAAGATATATAGGGACTTTGGTACACCATTTACCTTAAATCGGACGAAGATATATATGGGAGCTATATCTGAATCTGAACCGATTTTCAATAGGGTTCGTCCTTGGGCCAAACAAATGAGCTGTGCCAAATTTCATCCAATTCGGATCATAAATGCGACCTGTACTTTGTTCACAAAAATACATGGACGGACGGACAGACGGACATGTGTAAATCGACTCAGAAAGTGATTCTATGCATATTCTCAAAAGGGTCTATCTCGATTATTTTTGCCTATTACAAACATATGCACAAAGACATAATACCCTGTACCACAGTGTGTTGAAGGGTATAATTACGTGGGGAAAATACTAATAGTGGGGCTACCGTTATATGGGACAATAATAAAACGGAGGTCAGTATTGATATTTTTGCTAGTGAGATTTGTCAGCCAATTAGAATACAAAATACAAAATTACGAACAAATTCGGTTTGGAAACATGTCCAAAATTCTCAAAATACCGATAATTATTAGTGTCGAAGTGTGGTGGTACCGCTTTGAGAACCCAAACACCAAATTACAGCCAATTTCACTGCAAAATATTAATAATTTCCGGTACGGTTCCAAAGTCCTATATGCTATTTGATTTCAAAAAAGAAGATCAAATATATAAATTACAGCCTGGTGAATTGCGTAGAAAAACGTGAAAATTTAATGATAAGCCACAAAAGACTAAAACATTGTGTTTTGTAAAACTATATATATAGAATTATTAGGGCTACCCAAATTGAAACACTGCAAAATATTAATAATTTCTGGTCAATATGTTAATACTTCTTGGTATGAACATGTGCTATTCATTGGTATGAACATGTGCTATTCATACTACATTGCAGTCAAGCTGGTTGGGAAACGTGTCCAAAATCCCCAAAAATGCCGAATACTGGGGTTACCGTTATATGGGGGCTACCCTGAAACATGGGTCAATATTAATAATTTTTCGTACTGGGATGTGCAATACTACGAGAATCCAAAATGCCGAATTACAGGCAATACTGAAATACCACAAAATACTGAATATTGGGAGCGTTATATGAGGGCTACACCAAAACGTGGACCGATATATCCCATTTGCAATGCCAAACATCCTAGGAGTATTAGCAATGTCTGTCCAAAATTCCAAAGCTCTAGCTAAAATATTAGGCTGGGAAAAAAATAAATCAATTTTTTGGTGTAAATGGTTTAAATGGCGACGTTACGACTGCTAACATGCCGGTCTCCGATTTCATCGACATTTTCGACGACGAGGTACATCTTTAACATAAAAAAATCCTGAACGGAATCTACGAAACCAAAATTGCACATAATTGGCTGTTACAGTATCGGAGCCATAAACACCATTCTCAATTTTTGCCGCTTGGCTTGCATTTTCGCCTTTGTCAAAGAAAAACTGTAAAATGTACTTTTCTAATTTTCTCTTTGTTCGCTTCCATTTTTAACACCCTGTAACTCACAACTGAATGCATAAAAAAATAATATATTTTTTTACTGCGAAATGTCACCCTTCCAACGAGCATTAATCAGAAATTGTTTTATCGATATTTTACGATAAATCTATCAGTGAAGCCATCTGCCAAAAAAATTATGGATTTCGTTTTTCCAAATCTAATATTTCAAGCTCTATCGTGATTTCAACTGACGAACAGACAGACATACACTTCCATGGTGGAGGATATAAAAATGTGGAAACATTTCCCCAACTCTCCAAAATACCGAAATTTTGATAGTTAGGGAACTTGATAATACTTTTTAGAAAGTATTACTCCCCAAGTGAAATCCAAAACACTGAATTTCAGCCACTTCGGCTTAGAAATATGAGCAAATGTCTAATTTTTGGAGCTACCGCTCCTTTAGAAGAAAGTTTTGCTACTCAATGATAGCCCTAAATACAACATTACAGGCCCTAAATACAACATTACAGGTGTATCCAATTTTTAATATAATAACATCCTACGGGCAAAGGCAATGTATGCGCAAAGTTTCAAAGTCCTATATTTAAGCTATTGTGATTTCTAAAGACGGACGTATTATTATGTTCAATTATATATAATTTATGCGGTCCCTGGTGAATACCTTAAGGTGTTGGAAACCGAATGAAAATTTAATGATGGTATATCGATCGATTATTTTCTACTAAAACGTCTTGTGTTTTGTAAAATCTATATATATAAAATGAATTGCTGTTCGTTAGTCTCGCTAAAACTCGAGAACGGCTAAACAGATTTTTCTTATCTTGGTCTTGAAATATTCGTGGAGCTTCGGGGAATGTTTAAAAGGTAAGAAAAAAAAAACGAAAAATTAGC